TAGGCTGTCTTTGGCTGAAGTTTTTGCATCCGGTGTACTATTTCCAAAAAAACCATAGATATTTTTAGTGATTCCTGATATTTCAAGTCCCAAATGTCACGTCCATTTCCGAAACATTTCATGACAGTCGCTTTAGAAAGCGGGCCAAAGCAAATCCTGGAATAAATACAGAAGGGCAAGATTTAGCATCGTGCTAATCCTAAAATTCAGAAGTTTGTAACACAGACTTCGCGAAGTAATAAGAGGTTCTTAAACATGGAACAGCCCTCACATTTCGGAGCCAGTCCTGTATGTTTTTCGGTTTGTAGTTTGAATGACCGATTATAATCGGTTGCTCTTCGTCTTTTGAATCGGTTCACTAATTGCACTGGAGCGGGATATCGCTGGTAACGAGATTAGCGGAGTCAATCCCGACCAGTCACACCCCCTTTTCAGCTCTCCCTCCCCCCATTACAGAGAATGGTTCTGCGCCGCCAGAAGTCTTCTTTTGTTTTTAGAGCTGGTGTTTAATTTATGATACGACACATCTAGCAGATGATTCCGTTATCATAAAGATTAGATTATAAGCTCGGATGTGAAAATAACATAACTGCGTGGAGTCTTCATTATTGAGAAGCTGTTAGTCCCTCAGTTGGTCAATAAATTCTTCACCTTTTATGGAACCATAAGGTTTGCTGCTGTGTTCACAAAAGAAAGCTAGTGGTCCATATTCTTAAAGTGCTGAACCCGGTCCATACTGTCACATTGCATTTCTTTAAGATACATTTTAATATTATCCTCCCACTTACGTCCGTGTCTCCAAGGCAGTCTCCTTCCTTCAGGTTTTTTGACTAAAATATTGTACGCGTGTTTATATTCCCATGCGTCCCTTGTCATTTATCGAACTATAACGATATATTATTTATGTATTCATTCGTTTCATTTATAATTAGGATTTATCAGCTCATCAGTTGATTTAACAAATAAATTCCAGAGACATATTTTGACGCAGTCAAGCTTGTTCTGTGCGTCCTACCATTCAAACAGGTGGATGTCATTTTCGTAATTATAATTCTTATAAATACGTTGATCACAATTAATTTAAAATCTCAAGATACATCGATAACTCTGTAGACCTTTTCATGACTCAGAAGTGAGTCTATTCTCTTGTCTTCGCACAGAAATTTTATTTCTTCATAAAAGCTTCTTTGGGAATGAAGAATTAGCCTCCGTCTTTCAGAAGCTTGGGTCATTTGAAGAAAAGAAGATAGATATTTGGGCACGTGATTGTTCGTTTTAGCAGTTGATTTGGCAACTGCGTAAAAGTGTTTGTAAAGATGGACACATGGCTTTGCGCATTTTTTCCGCTTGTCGCCCTCTGCTGCTCTAATGTTCCTGACCCGACTCCTGGAGACACAAAAGACGGCAGTGCACCCTAGGGGCTGACATTCTACACCACCCAGTGCCCCTGTCCCCATCCTCCACCCGTGACACACTGATCTCGACAGATGGAGCAGAGTGGTCCATCGCCCACGGCCAGAGCCGCTGACTTTCAGGCCACGCTGAGCTCCGTTCTGCGGAAGATCTACTTTGGACCATGTGCCTCCTATATCAACTTCTAAACCAATCCACGAATATTCTGGAAATTATTAAAGACGATCTGACGCTTATTACCTTAGTATCGTCGAGAATACCAGGATGGTGGCCTCACGAACTTCTGACATGGGACCAACTTAAAATTCGAAAATTCTGGGTGCTAAGATATTTATTAATGTTAATAAATTATCAGCCTTTATTAGAACACCGAAGATTCTGTGTCATGTTCACAAGAGCCCGCCAATGGTCTTGTCCTTACTAGCGCAGTACAACACGTTAAAGTTGACGGGAATTAAGAAATTTTGTATTGAACAACAGTAAAATTCACTTCAAGATTATCTTTGAAAATCGCATTAAAAGTTTCTTTTGGAGTAAATTATACGTAAGAACATTTCACGACTGAAGACAGACACAAAACCGACCGCCTGACTCCAGACTCCCGCCAGACCTCATCATAGGTGCCACCATAGTCTCGTTTGCATTTCTTGCTACCAGGATGGCTACTGTCAGAAAACAATTTCAGTTTTCTGCAAATCGCACGACTGACATATTCATTCAGTCAAGCGTGACGCTCATGGGCTATTTTATATAATATAATATAATAATATCAATAATAATAAGCGTTATTTTATGGAAGGAAGGAGAAACGTAGGTCGACCACAGTAGTAGATGCAGACAGTTCACACATCAAAACTATTTCTTCAAGATCCATTTTAATATTATCACCTTATTTACACAAGTTTTCTACGTGATCTCTGCAATGCAGATTTTCCGATTAAAATTTCCGTACATTTCTTGTTTATTCTGTGCTTGTTACATTTTTAAATCTGCGTTGATTTAGTCCCTCGTATATCTGATGACAAATATAAATTACGAACTCTTCATGACAATACAATTTCAAATTGGATTCCGGTCCTGTGATCCTGTTTGAATCAGCGTTTGCCTGTCCTTTTATCCTCCCGCCTGGAGCCCTGTTCTCCACACACTTTACCCTGACCGCTTAGCTCTGCGACTTTTTCACCCCCTGAAGACTGCACCCCGCCCACAGAGTCATTTTCATTCACAAACCCGGGGGTGCGGCGACTAGGTATAGGAAAATAAAACTTGGGGTGGGAGTCATTTTAAACGATTCCATTCAAAGCCATCCATTGGCACGGTTGTTGGCAAAAATACTCTATAGAAATTATACCACAGTCCTGCGAATTATAAGCAGAGTCCCGCTGTTGTTACAAATAAGGGTTGATGGGACGGGGGTTGTGACTTGAAGGGAGGTGGGAGAATGGAGTGGGAGGGAGCAATCTGTGTTAGTAATTCGGATCCTTTGACGTCTGGAGACTGCTCTTTAACTGCCTTGATGCGAAATGCGACTTAGCAGTCGGTACATTTAATCATTTCAGTTTATCGAGTGTCTACATTTAATTACGTCTGCTCGCCATTGCTGGCGCAAATATCAGCCTGAGTTAGCACGAACTGTGGCGTAAATTGACGAAGAAAATTATATCCACAATGACATTGGATTTACCCTGTGTTGTCATGAGAGAGATTTTTCTGTGGTTTCTCCTCAATCTGCCTTACCACATACAAAGACAGCGCCTGATATATATCTTGTTTTTGTTAAATTTTTGTGAAGATTTCCGTCTTCTGGGTTGTTGCGCTGTGTAGT